GCCGGGGTGGCTCCCCGCCCCGAGGGTCTCGGACCAGGGCGCCAACGCCTGGTGGGGCACCCGCTCCTGCCGCACCTGCCGTCAGCATTGCCGGGCCCTCCGCGCCAACGTGGGCCTGGGTGCCCCGGCGGAAGTCATGGGCGGGCCCCCCTTCCCCGACCAGGGCCGGGCCCAGTGGCCGGCGGGAGCCACCTCTGGACGGAGGAGCGCGATCCACTGGGCGCCCGGACAAAGTGGCGGGCGCGAGCGCCCGCCAGTGGCACCACCCACCCTGACGGGGGGGCACGCGTCCGGCTCGCCGCACGCGTCATCGCCATACCTGGTTCGGACAGCGCCCAGTTGGCGGAAGCCACAGGCTGCCGCGCGGGGCCCGGCGCGCTGGCCACTGCATCCCCCAGGCATCAGAGGCGCCCGGGCAGTCGAGGATAACCTGGCCGCCATCCGCGACGGATGTGGGACTGGGCGGTACAGGCGGCTGCCCCCGGGGTCGCAGATGGACCTCGGGATGCGGCCCCCGATTGAAGGGGGATGGGCACTTGCGTGGCAGGCCGTATGGCGACGGCTCAACAAGCCAGCGACTGTCTGGCAACCCTCGGCGCGTCTTCTGGGCTGACCGGCTGAGGCAGTCCAGGGACCTGGAAGTCCGTTCGTGAACTGCGTGGCACGCACAGGACACTCCTTCCCACCCACCCGTTCAGCCGCTCTTCCCGGGCGGAGGCTGCCATTACCTCAATCCTGGGGACGCCGACGCACTCGCCGAGACGCTCGCGCAACATGCGCGAGGACCTCCTGTGTCGCTGGACGGGCCCCCAGCGGGCCGTGCTCGCGAAAATACAATTCCACCCCCAGAGTACACCCTGCGAAATGCTGAAGAAATCATGGGTTAAGAAATTCATAGTCTCAGGATTTGAATAAAAAACACAAAAATCCTATTCAAAGTTTAGGCTTGACATCGAAACAGTAAGAAAAGGCGAGACTCTGGCCGAAACCTTACGTTTTCTTAAGCATCGCCCAAGGTGTACGGGCGAGGTTTGCCTTCGAGATAGGCCCGCGCGCCAGGCCCGTGCTGTGCCAGCACCTGCCTGCCATTCCCGGCGACGCGCGGTGCCGCGCGCCGAGATTCGGGCAGCCCTTCCTCCTCCTCCTCCTCCTCCTCCTCCTCCTCCTCCTCTCCCTCCTCCTCCTCCTCCTCCCCCTCCTCCCTCCTCCTCCCTCCTCCTCCCTCCTCCTCCTCCTCCCTCCTCCTCCTCCTCCTCCTCCTCCTCCTCCTCCCTCCTCCTCCTCCTCCTCCTCCTCCTCCTCCTCCTCCTCCTCCTCCGGCACCTGAGCGGGCCGCAGTGGAGAGGGTCGCTGAGCGCCCCCCACAGGGGGTGGTGCGACGCCGCCCGCGGCGGCTCCGACCGCTGGCAAACTTCCCTGGACACAGCAGTGCCAACTCCAGTGTGGACTCGGGGGTGAGGCTCGCACGAGGCTCTTCTCCCGCGACGCCCCCCTCGGCGAAGCCGCCGACCTGGAGGAGGCGACTGGGCGAGCATCGCCTGAAGGTTTTCCTGGGGGATGCCTACGCGCGCCGCTGCGGCGCCTCGAGGCGGGCCCCGCGCGGGTCGGCGCGAGCCCCCAGGGGGGAGCCGCGGCCTGGGCCGCGCTCGCCGGGAGCAGCCGAGGGCCCCGTCCCCCTCGGCGGTCGGCGCGCCATGGATGGCTGCCTGGCCATCGCGAAGGGCGAAGACCCCCGCTGGGCGCGGCCAATACGCACGGCCGCGGGCAGGCCCGAAGGGGACAGGCCCGTCGCTGTCTCCCTCGTCCAACGGGGTGAGAGCCTCGAGATCCATCTCCAAGACCTCATGGTCTACCACCAGCACAGAAGCGGTGGTGCTCAGCGGGCGAGATGCCGCGCCGAGCGAAGGCAAGTCGACCAATTGAAAGGATCCCAGCAGCCCCGGGAATCCTTCCACCTCGGCCAAACTGAAGCTGCTGGCCGAGCGGAAGGACCCAGGCAGCGCCGGCAGGATACCCCCAGGCCGCGCAGCCATGGGGATCGCGGCGCAGCTGACCCCGCCCTCGTCCAGGCGCCAGTGGTCGTGCTTGGTGGCCGGCGGCGCAGTCAACGGGCGAAGGTCGGGCCACACAGGCCCTTCGGAGATGGCAGGTTCCCCAGCTGCCACGGCGGCGGCCGCCATTGCTGGCAGCGCGCGCCGACGGACCCGCGGGCCGCCAGAGAGGACGAACTCTTCCACCCGCACGGCCGTCGTTCTGGAGGAGGAGGAGGAGGAGGAGGAGGAGGAGGAGGAGGAGGAGGAGGAGGGAGGAGGAGGAGGAGGGGAGAGAGAGGAGGAGGAGAGGAGGAGGAGGAGGAGAGAGGAGGAGGAGGAGGAGGAGGAGGAGGAGGAGGAGGAGGAGGAGGAGGAGGAGGAGGAGGAGGGGCACCCGGGCGGGTCTGGCGACAGGGCCCGCGCGCGCTCCGCGGCCCACGCTCCTGGACCCGACGCCAGGGCGCGCTGCGCGCCGCGGCCGTGCCCGCCGGGTGTTCCGATCGCGGCCCGCGCGCGAGGGAAGGCACCCCCCTACAGGCGGATTTTGGGCGGAACTTGGAAAATTATTCAAGGAATGCACAACAGTTGTCAAACAATATCAGGAAAATCGTCCCCAGACTATGTTTTACGATTCTGAAACATTCCGCCCGCCCCATCAGGCCACGCGAGGCAGCGAGAAGCCAATCGCGTCACAGACGAGGTCCTTCACGTCCTCGGCGGCCCGAAGGCGCCTGGCGGGACAGCAAGGCCCCGGTGCAGCAGCCCCTGCAGAGGCTGCAAGGAGGCCGTGGCACCAAGACGGGCCCCAACCGTGGAGAGCAGCGGAGGGGCGGCCCTCCGCGGCCCACGTCCATGGTGGACGTGGGCAGCGGCCTGCCCCCCCGCCGCCTCCTCCCCCTCCCCCCCCTCCTCCCTCCTCCTCCTCCTCCTCCCCTCCTCCTCCTCCTCCTCCTCCTCCTCCTCCTCCTCCTCCTCCTCCTCCTCCTCCTCCTCCTCCTCCTCCTCCTCCTCCTCCTCCTCCTCCTCCTCCTCCTCCTCCTCCTCCCCCCCCTCCTCCTCCTCCTCCAGCCCAAGGCAGGCGGTAGGGCAGGCCGCGCCCCGGCGGCAGGGGGGCGCTGCCCACCGCCGCTCGGGCTGGCCTGTGCGGACCACGGCGACCCCGCGGAGGAGGCGCCGAGGCCCGCGAGCGAGGGAAGGGGCCGGCCCAAGCGCCGCTCGTAGAGCGCGGCTCGAAGGCCTTGGAAGAGAAGCTCACCCGCACCCTCCATGACCGCCTGAGCGAGCGGCTGAATAAGGCGCCTGCCGCAAAGGGGCTGCGAAAGGAAGCTTGGGCCAAGCAGCTGAAACGACCGCGAAGCGGAACGAGAGGGGAGATCATCAGAGAGAGCATTACATAACATACCAGAACCCAGCATATCATAGCATACCATAACATAACCATGCATGATATACCGTATTGTGCTGGGCATAACGGAAACACCACTGGACAGAGCATAGTATAACATAGCCTGACACAACACATCAGGTCATAACATGGTGCCGCAGAACATAACATAACACAACATGTCAAGCATGAGGGAGGTGAGCATGACAGAGCGTACTTTGACAGGAGAGGGAAACAAAAGTGAAGACGAGCTCCTGCTCCCCCTCCAGCTGCTGCTCCTCTTCTGTCAACAAGCTGCAGCTTCTCTCCGAACAAGTTTCGGGGTCTCCACGCTTGTTTGGGGGTGATTTGTCGCCCCAGGACTTGTTTTGGCCTATTTCGTCCAGGGCTCCAGAACTGTTAGAACTTTGGACAACGGCAACTTGCGACCTGGCCGGACCGCCGCGCTGCGCCAAGACCATCGGGCCCCGCGCGCATCGTTCCAATAGGCGCGCGCACCGTCGGAAACGCTCGAAGCAAAATATTGTTTTGAAAAACGTGTTGGCGATGCAGCGGTTCCACTGCCGAGCCCAGGACGCGAAAATATTGCCTGTGAAAAAAGCGGGCGCCAAGCCCATCGCATTCCACGCCTGACGTTATTTTCCTCGACGGTCGGCCCTGCGGTATGGCACACTGAAGATTTTCAAAATTGCTTTGCACTCTGCGTCCGTGTAGCCAGCGTGTGGAAAATCCGCAAATATTGCTCTCCAGGCGCCTGTCCGTGATGAAAGTTCTAGGTATGCCACTCTGCCTGCATTCCATCGCGTGGGAGCCTTCAATCTCGGAGAGACGATGTGTCCAAATCGCCGCATTCTTCTCGTTCCCGCCCCCGTGCTCCGACCCAAAGAACTTGCGACAATGATCGCATACTCAAGCGAATCGTCGCCCGAACCGCCCTAATTGCATGTCACAACGTATAACAGCCAAGCTCAAACTGCAGACTATTTCGAAGACAGCTGTTGCGCTTTCTTGCCGCGCAACGCTGCCAAACGAATGTCCCCACATATGCCTTGGAATGCATCGCGGCCTCCGCCCAATGATATTAACATTTCTGTTCATGACATGTGTGCGGTCTGGACATGCCGGGATCTGCCTGTCTCTGGCACCAGACACTCAGTGTGCACCCCGTTCTGGCACAACTCCTTCCAATTCGTCGGTGCGTGTGCGAGTGCGAAATACTACCGCGCGTTTTTATTTCGATTGCCACGCTCCTGCCGTGTGGCCATGTTGAACGAGTGGTCCGTCGTGCAACTGCGCATCGTTTAACCGATCCCTGTCCCGACTGGCGTGACCTGGGCCTCACTGGCCGATGTACATCCCTAGATGGGGATATAAGCTGTTCCTTTCGGGTTTCGAGGGGCAAATCCCCCAACTAAGATGGTGGGATGGTGGGGACTGGGATGGGGATGGGGAGACGGATCGGTTACACGGTAGTGAGCAATGGCGGACGCGTGATTCGTCGTGCACGCGCTGGGGTGATGAGCAGAGACGATGAGCGGTGATGCAGCCGTGAAGCTCCATGAGAGTGTCCACCACCACGGGGGGGGGAAAGGAGGGGAACCAGGACTGCGTCGTTTTCTTCGTCGGGCTCGATGCTCTTAACTAGACTGGGGGATACACGGTCGGGAACTTTTGGAAAGCGCGTGGCTCCGCCGCTTCTGGTCCACCACGCATCGGCTCGACAAGCTAATGATACATCAACGCATGATCCGCCTATGTAAGGCTGAGCAGTCCAAACAACTGCTCAACGCTCTCACCAGCACAGCCTAGCGATGACTGCACACGCGATAAGGAAACCCAATCAGCTGCTGCAAATGCACTGCGGCTAGGCAGCCCACCACAGATCGGACAGACACGTCCAGCCATGGTCTGAGAACTCAGGCTCGATCCCAGCATGATATCGTCGTTCCGAATCGCGGCGGCCCCCACATACAGCAACGCACCTGCTCAGATCTAGCTGATCGTGAGGGTGTTCGTGACACGATTCGCTTTCGGCACAGGCTCTATCAGTGAGGCGTCCTGCTTGCTGGCCTTGATGTACTTACCAATGAGACTGACCTCTTCGCTGTGGGTGAAACCTTCCTCCCACGAGCTGAAGCCAGCCCATGGACGGCTGGGGCTGAATCCAGGGAGTGTCGGAGGGGGTGGGCCCTTGACCGAAGTTGGCAGCGGAATGTTGCGTGCCATGAAATACGCGGGGTTGACGAAGACGGCGTCCTTGAAACCATGGCGCGGCTCGACGGTGTTGATCCAGTAGGGGTCCAGACCGCCGATGAACTTGAAGCTGGCATTGTGGAGCAGGTCGAATATGAGCCTCTCGGTCTCGTCCCTGGAGCGTGCCTGCACATAGTCCTGGGAACCCCGCGCAGAGCGGCGGCCATCGAAGGTCACGAGGATCACGCCGAACTCGATGAAGCTTCCCGAGTGGAGCAGCGTCTCGTTCAGGATCTCGGCCTCGTACCCCCCGCTGCGCAGGTTCCAGAAATCGATCGTCTTGCGCCCCCCCATCTCTTGCAGGAAGGTCTTCAAGGGATACGCGTGAATCTGGTGACCGCTCAGCTCGTCGACCTCGCCGTCATAGTTAAAGCCAAGCTTCGTCGCGTTCTCGTGAGGGGAGAGGGCGCCGAGGAACAGCCATGCCTTCCGAAACTTGGACCACAGTTCCATGTACCAGTACGTGCGCGGTTCGATGCACAGCCCACGCCAGCCGAGCAGCTCGAGAAGGAGCGTGTTGCTGTTTGCCTCACCGTCCATGGCGTTGGTGTCCAGGTAGAAGCCGTTCGTGACGTTCATCAGCACCTGGGTGAGGAGCTTCACGTCCTGCTTGGCGCTGCTGAAGGACGCGAGGGTGTCGCCCTGCTCCAGGCTGTACTCTCCCCACTTGGGCACGTCCACAGCGGGCATCGACGAGTACTCGTTGACCGCAGCATTGTCGCCCGTTCTGGGCGAGCCGACGCCCCAGGGGAGCTCGTGGCTCGCCTCCACCGCGGCCGTCGCCGTGCCCTGGAAGTCCGCGGAGGGCTGGAACGCCTCCGCGGGCTGGAACTGCGGCCCCAGGCCCTGCGACGCCCCAACCGCGCTGGCGATGGGCCTTTTTTCCACCACCACTGTCATGTGCAGGACCTGGGAGAAGGGAGGATGTGGAGATCCTCCTCCTCCTCCTCCTCCTCCTCCTCCTCCTCCTCCTCCTCCTCCTCCTCCTCCTCCTCCTCCTCCTCCTCCTCCTCCTCCTCCTCCTCCTCCTCCTCCTCCTCCTCCTCCTCCCTCTCCTACCTGGGGCAGCGGCGGTGGAGAATCGGCCCATCAGCCGGAGCCGGCGCCCGCGCCCGTGCCGGCGCCCGCCCCCCGCTCGACGACGGTCCTGCTCTCGAGGAGGCTGCTCGCGGCGGGGCGGGGCGAGCGCCCGTGGCGGAGGCCTCCCCGCTGGTCCGCGGGGGGCACGAGCACGGGCCGGTCCGGGGGCGACGGGGGGGCGATCTGCAGCAGGTCGTCCAGGTCCAGGCCGGACTCCGCGGAGGCGGTCTCGGAGGCCGCGTCGTGGCCGCGGCCGCCGAGGAGCAGGCCCCGGGCGGGGGAGGCGGCCAGGAGAGCGCAGCCGAGGCTCCGCACCACGGCGCCGGCCATGGCCCGAGGCGGGGAGCTCCACGAGGAGGAGGCTGCCAGCCCGTGCGGCACGGTGAGCTCGCACTGGCTGGCACGCCCCAGCTGGTGCGGTGAGCAAGGTCGACTGGAGCCAAGACCTGGCTGGAGCCAGGGTGACTACGGAGCGGGGCAGCGGAAGCGAGGGGCAGGGAAGAGGAGAGGGGGGCGGGGTGACGAGGAGGAGGAGGAGGCGAAGTTTGAGGACGCAAAAGACGGGAAAGGACGACACAAACATACACTCTCCGAGTTCCAGGCGGATTTCTCGGGCCGGCGCTGGCTTCCCCTCCCACACCCCTGCGCGCCAGAGAAGGGGTGTGGGAAGGGTCGTCCAGCGACAACCCGAAAGGAGCGGGCCTACCAACATTTCTGGTGACGTCTTCCTTGGCTTCTCACGCACCACTGGAATGCACGACGCTTATGTACCCCACACGGCCTCAGGAGGGGGATCCGTTGATCTGAGCAAGAGAAAACCAAACCGATACGAGGCCTCCAGGATAGGGACGGAGTAGATGGGGTTGGAGGATCGCGCCACATCGGCGATGCACCAGCCATGCATCGGCGACGTCGGCGGTGCATCGGCGACGCCGGCGTGGATAACATCGGGCTCCACATCGAGCCGCATCGGCGATGCATCGCCGATGCATCGGCGATGCGGCGCGATCCTCCGACCCCATCTACTCCGACCCCATCTAGGAGGCCTAGAGATACCCACGCTTCCGAGACCGTATCGGCGCCACCGGGCGCCTCCCCCGAGTTTAGCTTCGATGTCCAGAGGCCGCGAGCAGCCGAGGTCCCTCGCCGACTCCCTCAAGACCCCCGAGGCCGCTCGCGGCGACACGGCATCCATGCCCAGACCAGGGGTGGTGCTCGTGGGTGGGAGTATGCGCAGGGGCTGCAGGGAAGGGGCGGGGGGCGCCTCGGGCGCGAAGAGGAGGAGGAGGAGGAGGAAGAGGAGGAGGAGGAGGAGGAGGAGGAGGAGGAGGAGGAGGAGTGAATGGGGGGCGATGAATGGGGGGGGGAGAAAGGTGCCCGTTTCGGGCCCCAAAGGCCCACTCTGGGGCCCCAGAGGGCCCCTGTCAGGGGCCCGAAGGAGCCCGCAGGGGCCTCCTCCTCCTCCTCTCCTCCTCCTCCTCCTCCTCCTCCTCCTCCTCCTCCCCCATGGTTCCCCCCCCACCCCTCCCCCCCCCTCATTAATTTGCACCCAAGCGCCAGGCATCCGTCCGACGCCAGGGGAGCAGAGGCACGGCGGAACGGGGGGGGGAATCCGCCGCCGTGCCGCTGGGCACCTGGTGGGCGTGTCCTCGGGTCCTTCGCCCAACCTGATCGGACAAGAACGGGAAGCGCCGCTTTGATTGGCTTAAATCGGGCACAAGGACGAGGACGAGGAGAACGAGGGCGAGCACGAGGAGGAATGTGGGGACGATGACGACGACGACGCCGTGCCGCTGGGCACGGAGTGGGCGTGTCCTCGGGTACTTCGCCCAATCCCCTGAGCCTCGGGCCTCGATCCTGATGGTTCTTAAGGTGGGGCGCCGAATTCTGGATTCACAGATCTCCTTGGTCGTGCCGCGTGGCCCCCTGGGCCTTGGAGCATCTTCTCGCGCGACTTGTCCAGGCACTGGAGGGCCTAAGCACTGGCCAAGAGGTCCTTCAGAGGCCCAATAGGGCCCCGAGTCGCCGAACGATCGCTCCAAGACGCTCAGGATGGCCCCCAGACGGCCTGAGGGGCCCCCCAAAGGCGGCCTAAGAGGCCTCTAAGAGGCCTGCCAAGAGCGTCCCAAGAGGCCCAAACCAGTGATTTTCGAGAAGTGGTTTCAGGTTTGTGGTCTTCTCGCCTCTTCGGCTTCCCGACGCTCCCAGAAGGCACCAGAGGCCCCCAAGATCGCCCCAAGGCGGCCCAAGAGGCACCCAAGATGGCCCAAGAGGGCTTCAAGACGGCCCAGGAGGCGCCCAGAACAGCTCAAGAGGCCCCAAAGACGGCTTCAAGAGGGGGCCGAGATGAGGGGCACGAGCTGACATTTCGAGCCCTCAGCCCCGAGGCGTCCCCAGAAGGCCCCAACTATACCCCCAAGATGTCCGAGGCCCCCAAGAGGCCCCAAGAGGTTCCCAAGAGGCCTTCCACTTGCCCGCAAGAGGCCCCCGAGAGCGCTCCGAAGAGACCCCAAGAGACATCCCTGAGAACTCTAACCCGAAACCCAGGCACGGTGGCGGGATGGGCCGAAGGCCCCGCCCCCTTCTGATTCAGCAAAGGGGTGCCCGGCGTGCCGAATCCAATCGGTTTGGGTTTTGGCTTTTTTCCAAAAGAACTCTCCCAGTGGGTTTCGGCCCGTTCCGCCGGGGTCGCGGAAAGCCCGGAAACGAGCTCAACGACCGCAACAAATCCTCCAAGATGGCTCAAGAAACGGCCGTTTCGCTCGGGACATCCTCAACAAATCGCGAAGATGGCCCAAGATGGTCTCCAAGTCCGCCCAAGATGTTCCAAGACGGCCTCCAAGACGGCCCAAGAGAGTCGAAGATGGCCCAAGACGGCCCAAAAGGCCCCCCAGAGGCCTCCCAGACGGCCCAAGGGGCCTCCAAGAGGTTTTCCAGGAGGGCCCGAAGAGGCCAAAATCCTTGATTTTCTATAGGTTTTTTCAAGGATTTGGAGATTTGCTTCTTCTCGGCATTCCGACGGCTTAGATCGCCCAAGAGGCACCCAAGAGGGCCCCATGACGGCCCAAGTGGCCTCCAAGTTGGCCTCAAGAGGGCCCCAAGGCGGCCCAAGAGGCCTCCAACACGCCAAAGATGGCCTCCAAGACGCCCAAGATGGCCTCCAAGACGGCCCCGAAGCGCCCCAAGAGGGTCCCCCGTTGGCCCAGAAAGGCCCCCAAGACGGCTCCCGACGGCGTCAGACGTGCCAGGAACCCACCAAGATGGCCGAAGTTGGCTCGAAGCTGGCCCAAGACGGCCCAAGAGGCCCCCAAGAGGGCCTCCACGAAGGAGGGAAAAGGCCAAAAACATGGATTTCCGTAGGATTTTGACATTTCCTTCTTTTCGGCCTTCCGACGGCCCGAGACGGCCCAAGAGCCCCCACAGATCGCCGAAAGATCGCCCAAGAGGCCTCCAAGACGGCCAAGATGACCTTCAAGGTGCCCACGTGTTCCCCGAAGGCTTTCCAAGCCGATTCGGGGAACACATGGCCCGATAGCTTGGCAGGCCTCTGCCCTCAACGTTCGGCCACATCGGCGCTTCCAAAAAGGCAGGGGGCGGCGGTGGTTCGCAGTAGGCGTCTTAGATCCGCCGCCCCCTTCTGCTTCAGCAAAGGGGTGCCCGGCGTGCCAAATCCTATCGGTTTTGGTTTTGGCTCTTTTTCCAAAAGAACTCTCCCAGTGGGTTTCGGCCCGTCCCGCGGGGGTCCCGGGATTTTTTCCACGGACCTCACTTCCCCAATTTTCTGCCCCAGACGGCTCCAAGATGGCCTCCAAGATGGCCACGATGGCCCAAGATGGCCTCCAAGGTGGTCCAAGATCGCCTCCGAGTCCGCCCAAGATGGTCCAAGGCGGCCTCCAAGACGGCCCAAGAGAGTCCAAGGGGGCCCAAGACGGCCCAAGAGGCCCCCCAGAGGCCTCCCAGACGACCCAAGAGGCCTCCAAGAGGTTCTCCAGGAGGGCCCGAAGAGGCCAAAATCCTTGATTTTCTATAGGTTTTTTCAAGGATTTGGGGATTTGCTTCTTCTCGGCATTCCGACGGCTCAAGACGGCCCAAGAGGCCCCCAAGATCGCCCAAGAGGCACCGAAGAGGGCCCATGACGGCCCAGTGGCCTCCAAGATGGCCCCAAGAGGGCCCCAAGACGGCCCAAGAGGCCTCCAACACGCCCAAGATGGCCTCCAAGACGCCCAAGATGGCCTCCAAGACGGCCCCGAAGCGCAACAAGAGGGTCCCCCGTTGGCCCAGAAAGGCCCCCCAGACGGCTCCCGACGGCGTCAGACGTGCCAGGAACCCACCAAGATGGCCGAAGTTGGCTCGAAGCTGCCCCAAAAGGGCCCAAGAGGCCCCCAAGAGGGCCCCCAGGAAGGCCAGAAGAGGCCAAAACATATATTGTCCTGAGGTTTTGGACGGATGTTGATATTTCCTTCTTTTCGGCCTGCCGACGGCCCGAGACGGCCCAAGAGCCCCCACAGATCGCCGAAAAATCGCCCAAAAGGCCTCCAAGACGGCCAAGATGACCTTCAAAACGCCCGCGTGTTCCCCGAAAGCTTTCCAAACCGATTCGGGGAACACATGGTCCGATGGCTTGGCAGGTCTGGCCTCAACGCTCGGCCACACAAGACGGCCAGGATGGCCTCCAAGACGGCCCCAGATGGCCTCCAAGTCCGCCCAAGATGGTCCAAGGAGGCCTCCAAGACGGCCTCAGAGAATTCAAAACGGCCCAAGACGGCCCAAGAGGCTTCCCAGAGGCCTCCCAGACGGCCCAAGAGCCCTCCAAGAGCTCCTCCAGGAGAGCCCGAAGAGGCCAAAATCATTGATTTTCCATGCTCTGACGTCTTTTCAGTGGTGAACTCTGATACCATATGGTCGCGACCAGGTTATCGAGTCGTGCAAACGGCGAAACCACTCTGCACGAGAGGAAGGAGTGAAGAAGGTTAAAAAGGGGGCGTGCACTATATAGGGCAGGTCCAGGGTGGCTGAGGGTGGGAAAGCTTGAGCCCCAGCAGCGGTATGGGGGCTGCTGGAGGGCTGCAACATATAAAGAACCTCTAAGCAATCACGTGCGACGCACACCCATGCTATGACGTCTTTTCAGTGGTGAACTCTGATACCATATGGTCGCGACCAGGTTATCGAGTCGTGCAAACGGCGAAACCACTCCAACATATTCGCAAAGCCGAAGTTCTCAGCGTAGCGGTATAGAACATTCACCGGCGTCGGGGAAGGCGTCAACCTCAGTACGTGAAAAATACTGCTGCCACACACAGATCACCTTTGTTCACAGGTCGAGCAAG